AATATTGTGTTACTATTATTACTTTAAACATAGAGTTGCCTTTTAGATCAATTAAGAATAAGAAAAACTAAAGACTCTGTTTTAGGTTTATTCACTCTTTTTCAAGATTCTTTTCTATCTGTGAATCTGAGTTTCTGATCTATATCATTTTTCTTCTCCCTGAAGAACTTGTAACATTTCTTTCAGGGCCCACTGCTGGATTTAAATTGAATTTGTTCTTAAGAAAGCCTTTCTTGGACAGGCATGGTTGCTCACACCTGTAATCACAGGACTCTGGGAGGCTGAGGTGGGTGGATCACCTGAGGTCAGGAGTTCAAGACCAGCCTGGCTAACATGGTGAAGCCTCATCTCTACTAAAAATATATATGTAAAAAAGAAATTAGCTAGGCTTGGTGGTGGGTGCCTGTAATCCTAGCTACTCGGGAGGTTGAGGCAGGGGAATTGCTTGAACCTGGGAGGTGGAGGTTGCAGTGAGCCGAGATTGCCCTTGCACTCCAGCCAGGGCAACATGAGTGAAACTCCGTCTCAAAAAAAAAAAAATAATAATAAAAGAAAGTCTTTCTTTTTCATTTTTGAAGGAGAAGTTCACTGGGTATAGAAATCTTGGTGGGTGGCTTTTGTTTATCAACACTTAAGTACCTCATTCTACTCTGTTCTTGCTTGCATAGTTTCTGTTAAGAAGTCCACTTAATTCTTGTTCTTGTTTTTGTTCTTCTGCAGGTCAGGTGCTCTTTTTTCTGAATTCTTTTAATACTTTTTCTTTGCTTTTGGTTTTCTGAAGTTTAAAAATAATATGTCTACATGTGTTTTGTTTTTGGTGTTTATTCTGCTTGGTGCTCTCCCAGTCTCCAGGAACTATAGTTTGGTGTTCTCATTAATTTTGAAAAATTCTCTACTATTATTACTGGAGGGTTTTTTTTTTTTTTTTTTTGATGGAGTCTGACTCTTGTCACCCAGGCTGGAGTGCAATGGCACCACCTTGGCTCACTGCAATCTCCGCCTCCTGAGTTCAAGCCATTCTCCTGCCTCAGCCTCCCAGTAGCTGGGACTACAGGCATGCACTATCACACTTGGCTAATTTTTGTACTTTTAGTAGAGACAAGGTTTTGCCATGTTGGCCAGGCTGGTCTTCAACTCCTGACCTCAGGTTATCCACTCGCCTCAGTTTCCCAAAGTGCTGGGATTACAGGCGTGAGCCACCACGCCCAGCCTGTTCATCTTTTTTCTTGTGGTAAGGATGGGAGTGATGATTTCTAAGATCTTTGCAATGAAAATCTCTATGTTACTTTATTTTTAGAAGTTCCTATCATTTTAAACCCTTAGTTAAATAATACTCAAAATCTCTAGGGTATAAAATGAAATTATACCTGTTTATCATATTTTACTATATTCTGTATAAAACTTGGTTCCAAGGCATAAAGTTACTTGCTTAAGCATCTAATGTTTGGCCAGCTATTATTTTGGAGGCAGGGATTTCTAGTCCGGTGCTATTTCACAACAATATGGTGTCTACTTAGATGGAACTCAATTGAATGCAACTAATTTAAAACAGAAATGTCTAAATCATAGACATGTCAAGGCCAGACAAGTCAAAGATCAAGATTAGTGTCTCAGGAAGGAATAGCATAACCATAACATCTTTTCCTTCTCCTTGCCGATTTTAGGCTTTCCCCTACTTGCTTAGACACTGGAATTGACCTTTAGATAAGAGACCACGTAGACCAAAAGGAAGAGTAAAGAAAGGAGAAAAATAGGAGAGGAAAGGTCTTTAAGAGGTGGGTGCTTTTTCTTTCTTTTTTTAGATATACATACAAAGAAGGGAGAAAAAATAACTTGGAGAACTAGGTCTCCCTACTCCTGAATCCATTTTGGTCATGGCTTTGAGTGCCCTTGCCAAAAAAAAAAAAAAAAAAAAGACAGAAAAAAAACCTGCTATCTAAATAAGTAAGTCTATCACTTAAATATCATCCTTAGTTCCTACAGTCAGGAAAGTAGAACTATTTCTGGTGTTAGAGTTTCTGAGTTTAATCCAGACTTTCCAATCTACCTGCTGTATGACTTTGGGCAAGTTATTTGAACTCTCAGTGCCTAGATAAAATGCCTCTTAAAATGTTCTTATATAAATTAGATAAATGTATCTCTCTGTGTATATGTCTATTATTAACGGTAGTGCTTGGCATGAAGTAAGCACTAGATAAACATTAGCTATTGTTGTAACCAGTCCTTCTCCCTCATTTTGCCCATATCAACCCTGTCTTTATGCGATGAGTCTAGAGATTTTCTCTCCAGGACTCAATTTTGGCTTTCCTGAACATAGATATATAGCCACAGATTAGGACAGAGGGATAGTTTTTGGCCAGCTTTATACTCTGCTTTAAACTGCTGGCATCTAAATTTAAACCCAACCTCAGGTTTTTAAAGGCTTCGCTCATTTACTGAGTCCAGCATATAATTCCTCATGCCTAGTGCCTACAGGGTGTGGTACAAGATGTACCTTTCTGGTTTGGCATTGGCTTCCCTGATGAACTCCTTCCACTCTCAACCCACCTATCCACCCTTCTCTTATGTGAAATTATATTCTTTGGCCATTGCATTTCATGTAATTGTAGCATTTACTTTTGAACTTGTGCCCAGAGGCCTGTGGGCAGTGGGCAAGAAATCTAATAAATGAAGCAAAATAAATGTACAGGGTAAAAAGTAAATGGGCCATTACTATTCAGAGAAAAACCCCAAAGTGACTGCTTGCTTGCAGGAACAGAAATAATTTTAGAACAAGTCAGTAATGTAAACAAGGTGAAAGAAAACATTTTGCTTCATAAATATACTAGGTCCATGCTTTCTACCTTACTCCCGGGTCTTTGCTTCATAAGAGAAGCCTTTTGACCCTCTTCTAGTGAATGAAATGCCTTGACCAGAAATCAAGGTAGGTAAGCCTTTCATGCAGTTCAGCTCGTGGGTGGCCAAGAACATATGGAGGCTGAGGAATCGTTGAATTTTCTCCTACTAGCTCCATTGAGAAAAGGATTGTATGCATTGAGTCTACTCCAATGGAAAGTTCTCAATCTCCCTATAAACCTTTTTTCATTTGGTTGTTCACGTTGACCCTTTTTGTGCTTTGGTGGATTTAGCTCTATTCTGCTCCATCCTCAATGAAATGAAGTGGCTCTCAAAGCAGCCGATAACATGGATGCACACCAACATGCAGATGGCCACACCAAGGTTAAGAGCCAGAAAGGACTCCTTTCCGTGCCATTTATGCATTTTACTAATATATATTTTGAGACAGAGTTTCACTCTTATTGCCCAGGCTGGCATGCAGAGTGGTATGATCTTGGCTCAATGCAACCTCCGTCTCCTAGGTTCAAGCAATTCTCCTGCCTCAGCCTCCTAAGTAGCTGGGATTACAGGTGTCCACCACCACACCTGGCTAATTTTTTGTATTTTTAGTAGAGATGTGGTTTTGCCATGTTGGCCAGGCTGGTCTCAAACTCCTGACCTCAGGCTGTCCACCCACCTCAGCCTCCCAAAGCGTGGGATTACAGGTGCGAGCCACCGTGCCTGGACCTAACTGATATATTTTTAAAACTATATACACACACAATGGAAAGAATTTTTGTTATGCATTTGTTCTGTTAATATGACCCCTCTTGAGGAATAACTATGCCTTACGTACATAGAATAATTTGACCTTGACAGAGCACATGCAACATACGGTGGTGGAAGAAGCCTGGGAGTGATAGGATACTTGGTTCAAATCCGCCTTTACTAATGGCCAGTTCTGTGATATAAAGCAAATGATTTACTCTTTCTGAGTCTCAGATTTTCATGTGTTGAATGGAGACTGTCATTATGGATATGTATACCATCCTTGCAGGAATGTGTGGGGAATGTGTTTTAAAATGCCCATGAAAATATTTTGTGAATTCTAAAGTGGTACATAAATATTAGTAATGATTAATCTTTTCATCCATCCCATGAGATAATTGAGGCAAATATTTTTATTCTCGTCAAAAAGTAAGAAGCCTGAGTGTAGCATGTGCTGTGTGTGCCCAGCCCATATACCTTTATCTCATGCGGGAAGTTGCCAGCAGATGCTTCTCCTGCATTTGGACAGCTTCCTGGGTCTGTGTGCATGAGGGTGCCCTTTGACCTTGGAAAAGACCAAAAATGCTGGAGAGATAACACCTCAGGAGCTACCCTCATTAATGCTGAACAGGAGTAGGTGGGTAAATTTCCAGCTTCTTCCCCAACATGGTGGGACAATTCAGAGCTATGTCCAACACAGTGTCTCAGAGAGCTCTGGGTGTGGTTGGGGGGTAGATTAAGCCATAGCTGTCCTGAGCAATACACTGTTCACCAACACTCCCTTCCCTGCCCCACTCTCGACTAGCTGATAGTGTTTTCTCAAATCGCATCACCACCACAAATAAGCCACATGCACCAAAATCCTTGGGGGCTGATTTGGGGAGGATTCCAACAAGACAAGACTCAGAGATTTAGAGATTCAGACAAAGTCACATTTCTGCTGAAATACACCCCCACTGTGTTATAGGATTACACATTCAGGGACCTGAAAAACAATAATATTTGATTTTTTTAAATGAAATATACAATGGTTATTGAGGAAATAAACATAAGCTTTTCCTCCTTTGTGCTTAGAGTTATTAACATATAGCATATTTTAAAAAGATATGGGCAGTATTATAAATCTTAGCGTGAACAGATGAAAGTTGTATAGCCAATAAAAATGAGATCTGGGTAATAAGAATGATGAATGTGCTGAAGTTTAAAAAAATCTGAAACCATAGGAACAGTTGTCTTTATGATAAGAATTGTTAAATATGTATCTTTATAGTAAGAAGAACAATAAAGGAAGGACATTTTTACTTGGAGATGGTGACATAAAGTTAGCCAAAGCAGACAAATCAGAAACATTTGAATTTTTTTTTTCTTACCTGTTTTTTTCTTCATGGAGAACAGTCTTCAAATGATATAATTTGGTCCAATTTCATGTACTGAAAAAGTTAGAAGATAGAAGAACAGAATCACTTCAATAATTATCAACTTACTGTGAAAACTTGGAGATGTGCCAAAACACATAAATCTGTAATACAGAAACTACAGACAAATACATCTGAAATTTCTCCTAAACAAAAACTTTTAAAGTGGATTGTTAAAGTATAGTTATTTAATATTTAGAAAACAAAATTGATCATCAGTAGGGAGCAGGAAAGGCTTACTAAATACACTATTACAATCAACCTTATTTAAAAATTTGAATTGCATTATTGGATGTATACCAGGAGAGTTCTTTGTGTACTGAATATTCTATATACACAATAACACACTGATTTGTAGCTTTTCATGGCAATGTGCATTAAGTGAAGAAATGCTAACTAGTATTTTCACTGGGATTCAGAACTTATTGATCAATTGTTCAAAGAATGACTGCTAATTTTGCTATTAGTAGTTAGTTTTTGGACAGGGAAGCTGGTATGGTTTTGATATGAGATCTGGGTTCAAATCCTTGCTGTTTCTAAATGAACCATTTAACTTAGTTTTATGTAGTTTCCTAAGCTACAAAATGGAAAGAAAAAAGGAATGCTTATTTAATGGTGTTGTGACGACTACATTAAATAAAGTATGTCAAAAAGCTTTACAAATTATTAAGCCTTAGAAAAATTCTAGTCATTAATGTATTTTAGCCAAACTGTGCTTAAATTTCCAATTATGAGAAAGTCTAAATCTGGAATGTGTCTCTGCTTATGTCCGAATAAAAATACAAAATATTCTCCATCTTTAGGGAAAGTTCAATACTTTGCTAAATTAAAAACTCAATTCATTTTTAGAGCAGGTACAAAATTATTTGAGCTATTATTAAGGCTGCTTAGATAAGGGCACAGCAAACTTGGATGATGGGCTCAACCTAGTTCACCATCTACTTTATAAATAAAGTTTTATTGGAGCACGCCCATGTCCGTTTATTGATGTATTGTCTATAATTGCTTCTGAGCTACAACGGTAGAGTTGAGTGGTTGTGACAGAGACCTTAAATCCATAACATCTAAAGATCTGGTTCTTTATAGGAAAAGTTCGCTGACACCCTGGCCTACACTAAAAAATATCTATAGTGTGTAGCTATATATAGTCATATGCAGGGAAGATATGTTTAAACAAAGATAAGGCAATTCTGGAGTTTACCAATTACAGTAATCAGAATGAGAGTCCAAATATTATAAAGACTGTGTGCATTTTGTTTAATAAAGTCACAAGGGAGTTATTTTTTGTAAGCTGTTAGTGAGTATAACACAAAGAATAGGGCTTTGCAACATAGCTTAAAAATATCTTTGGTATTGGAATTCCAGGAGTTGGCCTGAAGAACCTCTTGGGAATAAAGACTCCAAAGAGAAGCTGAGTGTTGCTTTGGGTCTGCCTGGCTGGGACTTCCCTGTTTTACTTTGATGTAAGTATTGAACCAGTTTGATCATGAATCCGATCATTCCTGAGAGCTGAGGAAATTCTCTCTGAAGTTGCCAGAAGCTATAAGCATTATGCTGCTGAAAAACACATTACTTGCAGTAGTAGTTGCTTTGTGCTAAGAACCTAGCAGAATGAACTTTGCATAGTAGTTTGGCTCAGCCATTTTTGAAACAGGCAACTGCCTTTACTAAAATCGGAACCAATGTCATCCTTTGCCCCACATTTGCGCTAGGTCCAAACTTCTTAGAGACAAGATCTTGCTCTGTTGCCCAGGCTGAAGGCTGAAGTGCAGTGGTGCAATCATAGCTCATTGCAGCCTCAAACTCCTGGGCTCAAGTGATCCTTTGGCAAAAGGATCGCTTTCTTTCTCTTTCTTCACCTCTTAAGTAGCTGAGACTACAGGCTTGTTGTGCTACCATGCTCAGCTACTTTAAGAAGTTTCACAATAATTCAGTGCTCTTCCAAGAACATTTTCAAGCAAGAAGACAATTCTGATTTCTTTTTAGTTTTTAACATTTTATTTATTTTAGATTTGGAGGTACATGTGCATATTTGTTACATGGATATACTGTGCACTGGTGGGAAGTGGGCTTTCAGTGCATGTTGATTTCTGGTTCAGTGGTCAAGGTTAAATTAAGTCACTAATAAATGATATTTCCTAAGATTTCAAACTGACCAGAGATGGTGGTCTGGATGATGCTGGAAGCTTAGCCATAGTAATGTTGTTAATGGTTGGCTCTTCTCATAAATTAGAGCCAGTGGACTGCTAAGCTATGATAATAAAAACTCTAATAATGAACCTACTATGTATTTTGGGATTAAGTAAGTCTTTGATTAATTTAGTAAGTATATGGTTTGTGCTGATGAAAATAAATTATGAGTAGGATATCCATCTATATTACTCTTCTAGAGGTGAGATGCACTGAATTGTATAAGGGGAAAATAGACAGCTAGAAGGAGTCTTCAGAAAGCTACTGAACCTTTGGTGTGGTTTGGCTGTGTCCCTACCCAAATCTCACCTTTAATTGTAGCTCTCATAAACCTCAAGTGTCGTGGGAAGGACCTGGTGGGAGGAAATTGAATCATGTGGGTGGGTTTTTCCCTGTGCTGTTCTCTCGATAGTAAGTCTCACGAGATCTGATGGTTTTTTAAAGAGCAGTTCTCCTGTACCTGCTCTCTTGCTTATTATCATGTAAGACATGCCTTTCTCTTTCTTTACCTTCCTCCACGATTGTGAGGCCTTCCCAGATATGCTGCACTGTTGAGTCAATTAAACCTCTTTCCTTTGTCTTTATTGGCAGCATGAGAACGGACTAATATAAGCTTTCTCTAGTAAGTTGAGCTAGGTCTCTAGAAATATGTGCATATTTCTTAAGCTTAAGTAGAGTGTGGATAACCTTTAACTAAATCACAGACGTTTCGAGTTTGGAACATTTGCAGTAATTTATTTCCAACTTTTCTAACTTTAACCCCATTTTGTAGATCATAAAAAACTGAGGAAGACAAAATGATTTTGCTGTTGTCATACGTCTAGTTTCTGGAAGAACACAGATTAGAATTTGACCCTTTGGTGTAGTGCTGTTTTCTCTATACAACATTCCAAAGCTAATTGAGAGGGAGTGTGCCTGTGAAGGAATTCAGCTAATGGGGTATGAACTGAGAGAACCAAGTTGTGTTAAGGGAGCATGGCTAATACTGAGGACACATGAGGCTGCGTACTGAGGAAATGAGTTGGATTCGGACCTGAGAGGAAAGTTATTGCCATGGCAGAAACAATGTGGACAACTTTATGCTAGTGACTAATTGTAACTAAAAGATGTTTAAAAGCCATTTTAATTAGCAAGTCCTTAACAGGCTAATGAGAAAAGTGAAGGTTAATAAGCATGTCTGACATCCTAGACCCTGTCAAAATCCTGTCAGGAATGCAGCGAGGGCAGCTCCTGACAGGGAGGCAGCAAATGAATGACACAGGCTGACAGGGCAGGCCCCTTAAAGGACACACACTTCTAGCGAATGATTTTTGAATAGAGAGAAGAGACAATAATGAGGACATTTGGAGTTTTTGTGGGGGGATTAGAATATCATCATCATTTAACTTAACACTTTATGTTATTATAGGTGAGCAATTTCACATGTATTTATAAACTGTGGGAAGTATACCTCACCCTGTGTAGGAAGATTTCTGGTTCCAACAAAGATGATGCCCTCTTCCCTCAAATTAATCCTAGAGAAAAGAAAAAAATAAAAAGAAGTGAAACATGAATTCTAAGAATGAATAAAACTAATCAACAAACTTTGGGAACCCCCTGAGGGTGCAGAAGACTATTTGCACTTTGGTCAGTTTCAGCCAGGGAAAGAAGGTAGCCCAAGATGGTAGTGGAGCTTTTTGGATTCTGCTCTTGTCTTTCTTTGGCTTTACCTCAAGACAGCCATCACCCACCCCTTCACTACAGAAGTGACCCAGGGTCATAGAGAGGCAGCATAAATACTGCTGAGGGAAGAGTTAATGAAAACAGGGGCTTCTGGACTCACTTGCCTTACCCCTACCGTTCAGACTCACAGGGCTCATGGATTAAAGCATAGGGAGTCTACCTTCTCATAATGCATCTTCTCCTTAAGGTTTAAGGTCAAGACCTGAGCAATAGAACTACATGATGGGTTCCTACAAATCAGAGTAATTCACAGTGGTTTGGTGATGTCTGGGATTTCCACATGGAGGCTCATTCTCTCTTTATTAACTCGTTTAAACTGGGCTGGGCAGCTGGTATCCTCATGGGAAAACTTTTGGGCTAAAATGACCAGACATCTGAGGGGTATATGCATTGTCTGAAATAGAAGGATTAGAAGTGAACTAAGAATTTAAAATAAATATGATAAAAACATTTAAGCTGATAAGGGAAAATATTAGCAATGTAAGACAAAATAATGGCAAGTAGAATAATAAACTATGACTTAAAAGGAAGAAAAATATATGAGATAAATAGGAGGACAGGTATAACTGAAAAAATTAATTAATGAAGTAGAACAGTAAACTTAAAAAATTCCTCCAGGAGGCAGCAGGAATGTATATAAAAAAGAAAGCAAATAGAAAAATAAAAAAGCTAACAGGCATGGCAGATAAAGGGCCTATCTGGTACTAGAATACTCAGAAAGAAAGTGGAGCTCTATGGAAGGAAATAGTCTGGAGAACTAACAGAGATAATTACTCCGGCTTAAACAAAGATGGAAGACTTCAGTTTGAAAGGGTTCATGAACTGTTAAACATAAAAGAAAAGGAAAACTCACCCTACATATAATATCTAAGAACATCACGTACAAAGAAAAAGTTCTACAAGCTTCCAGAAAGTGAAGATGACCTAAAATAAACAAGAATCAGATTGGTTTCAGACTCCTTCACAGCAACATGATGTGAAAAGACAGTGAAGCAGTACTTTTAATATATTGATAGAAAATCACATTGAATATAAAGTTTTACGTCTAATAAAATTCCCATTCGATTGTGAGGGGTAATAAAAATATTCTCAGGTTTGTAAGTTCTCAAAATTTTGTCTTACGAAAGGATACATTGAAAATGTTTTGGGGAGAGTACTGTTTAGAAGTAAATACGCTCAGGAGCTTGTGCGAGACATATGCTGCAAGAGAGGATGATAAAGTATTTGGGGATTCTAGACACTATCAGCATGATGTGGGATGTGGATCACAGGACACTAAGGGACCATGGAACCTGTCAGGCCACATTTGTGTTTAGGGAGAAGATACAGATCTTGACAGACTGATTGTATTAGTTTGCTAGGGCTGCCATAACAAAGTACCACAGGTTGAGTAGTTTAAATGACAGAAGTTTATTTTTTCACAATTCCTCCAGAATTGTAAACTACTCAACCAGATCAAGGTCTTGGCAGGGGGGGTTTTCCCTGACGCCTCCCTCATTGACTTGTAGATGTTTGTCTTTTTCCTGTATTTTCATAGACATGCAGCTGTATCCTAATCTCTTCTTATAAAAACACCAGTTATGTTAGATCAGGACTCATCCTAACGACCTCATTGTAACTTAATAATCTCTGTACAGACCTTATCTCCAAATGTAGTCACACTCTGAGGTACAGAAGTTGGGGCTTCTGCATATGAATTTTGAGGGGATACCATTTAGAGTGTAACACTGATATTCTCCAAGCCCAGGTCCATAAGCATGCTAATCAGTGATCGTTCTGATTTTTTATTGGTCAGTGTCAGTTACGTTTTCAATTGTTATATAGTACTTTGAATATCACATCTAGATATTGCTAACTTTAAGAAACAAATAAGGACCAATAATAATCCATATGGGTTAAGAACTATCACTATGTGAACAGAAATAGAACACATAGCTTTTAAACCAAAAGGGAAAAGTTGACCTAGTCAATAGAAAGTGGGAAGGAGTAAAAGAAGGCAAAACGTACAGTAAATAAAAAATATAAAATGAAAGAACAGATATCAAATAAAAAACGTTAAATATAATGAGTAAAATACTTTTTTTGAAAGAAACATTAGATTTTTTTTTAAAAAAGAAACTATGTTGATGAATTAAGATAAAGGACATAGAAAGTTAAAAAATTAAAAAGATATTTGGAAAATATAAATTGAAATAAATTTGGGGTGGACATCTTAAAAGCTGATTAAATAAAACTGAAAAACCAAAAATTTTAATAGAGACAAAGTAGGATGCTATACATAGTAAAGGAGCAATCGAATAAAAATATATAACCATTTAAATCTGTTATGTACCTAATCACACAGCTGTAAATACCATCAAAACCCAACAAGCAGAATTTTAGGAAGAAATAGATAAATCAAAAGGTATGGCTGGAAATTTTATACTCACCCCTCAAGAAACCATAAATCAAGCATACTACATACATACACACAAATAAGCAGCAGGATCAAGACCCGAACAGTAAAATATAATAAATGAGCTCATGCTAATATATCTAAATATATACATGCATACATTTATGTATCCTACAGAGAATACACATCATTTTCAAGCACACATGGAACACTTACAACAATAAACTATAAATCAATTTCGCCAAGTTCTCTGAGCATAATACAATAAAATTAAACATAAATTACAAAATAGTCACTTATATCTCATATATTTGAAAGCTAAATATTTCAAAATAATTCACACGTTAAATTTGTGAATACAGTTAAGCAAAAAAAAGAATAGCTTCAAAAATAACATGAAATAATAAAGTTTCAAAAGAAATGAATTAACTTCAGCTCATGAAGTGGGAAAAATAGCCGTGATAAACCCAAAGAAACAAGAAGGAAAGAAATGGTAAAGATAAAGGTAGAAATGATGAAGACAAAGGTAGAAATAAAGAAAATCAAGAACAATACAGAAGATTAACAAAACCAAAGCTGATTCTTTGAAAAGATTAACAAAGTAGACATCTGATAAGATTAATCTGCATAAAAGCAGCAGCAAATAAATAAGACACATAATGAAAAAGTGGTATCACTACAGATACAACAAAGATTTGAAAAATTTTAGATGAAATAAATACATCCCTAGAAAATATGAAATGCCAAAATCGTCTCAAGAAAACCTGAATAAACAAAATAAACAGTAAACTGATATGGTTCTTAAATAATTATCCAACATCAATAGCAACAAACAAACAAAATCCCAGGTTTGATTGTCCCAGCCCTTGTCGTTGAGTAGTTCATTTGTACCCCTCAAATTGCTTTGACACTTTTATTGAAAATCAATTAATTATAGGCTGGTTTTGGTGGCTGATGCCTATAAACCCAACATTTTGCAAGGCTGAGGTGGGCAGATCACTTGCGGCCAGGGGTTTGTGACCAGGCTAGTCAAAATAACAAAACCCCATCTCTACTGAAAATACAAAAATTAGCTGGATGTGGTGGTACACGCCTGTAATTCCAGCTACTCGGGGGGCTGAGGCACAAGAATTGCTTTAACCCAGGAGATGAAGATTGCAGTGAGCCAAGATCATGCCACTGCCCTCCAGCCTGGATGACAGAGTGAGACTGTATCAAAAGAAAAGAAAAGAAAAAATTAAATTGACTATAAATTAAAGCTTTATTTCTGCGTCATTGGTGTTTATTATCTATCTTTATGGCAGTGCTGTCTTGACTCTTGTAGCTTTATCATCTTCTGAGATATGACTGATATACTGGGAGGCATTAGTGGTGGGTGAAAAAGTTGTAAGCAGAAGAACAAAAGGGATGGCTGGGGTTGCTCTTCCTTTCTCCTTCTCTCTCTCCTTGGATCCCAATAATCTAGTCACAAAAGATAGGTCTTGGATAGGCTCATGGTCTCTCCTGGGCTCCTGAGAAGCTGGCATACATTTTAGAGGAAGGAAAAGGGCAACTTTGGTAGCAATAAGGAAGAAGAGTTATGAGAATGGAGCATCTTGTATGTCAGGGGTGGTTCTCCCCTATTAGAGAGAATCAGGGAGCCACATTTCCATGGAAACATCTCAGGTGAATGATGGAGAACACCATTTGTGATGGTAACATTTACCATCACATTGAAGCAAGTAAGCCAATGAGACTCAAGTCTTGGATTTATTATTTATTTTTATTTTTATTTTTTTCAGAAAAAGCCTGGGTCTATTGTCCAGACTGAAGGGCAGTGGCATGATCTTGGCTCACTGCAACCTCCACCTCCCAAGCTCAATTGTTTCTTCTGCCTCAGCCTCCAGAATTGCTGAGATTACTGGCATGTGCCACCATGCCCGGCTGTTTTTTGTTTGTTTGTTTGTTTTTTGTATTTTTAGTAGAGACGGGTTTTCACTATGTTGGCCAGGCTGGTCTTGAACTCCTGACATCAAGTGATCTGCCCGCCTTGGCCTCCCAAAGTGCTGAGATTACAGGTCCTAGCCACTGCCCCAAGTCTTGGATCTTATCTCCAACATGACCCACAAAACTAGAAAAAAATCTCTTTTATAGATCCAACTATGTCATGTTGTTGATCACAGCGGGATACAAGGAACCGCATTTAGCTTTAGAGGTCTTGCAGCTCTACCCCCAATATTAAAAAAGCAAGGCTATGTCCTACTGCTGCTAAAAGTCTCCAGGCTCCTTCTCTCTTCCACCTCTCTCCTCTACTTTCCTTCCTTTCTGCCTGTCTACTTGCCTTATTCCTTAAAGGGTCTGCATTCGTTATTGAAGGAAACACATACTTCTCATTTCCTGCTGGTAGCGATGACCACAACTGATGTAGTGTCCCTACTGCAGGAGGGCCAAGTTCTAACTCCTCTCTTGCTGGAGTCTTTCATAACCTTTAAAAAGGTATTGCCTTTTAAAAATGCTTTAAAATCTTCGTCTTGGGCTTTTTGCAATGGGATCACTACAGAGTGGTTGTCTATTTTGTTTCCTAACAGTGATTCTCCGACTTGTTCCAGGGGCTCTGCCCTGGTGAGAGTCAGAACATGGAAGCCTTGGTGAGACCGGTGCATTCTGTGGAACAGTGTCAGATGACTGGTGTACTGTTTCCTTTCTGTGATTGAGGAACTGTTTCAGCCGAAGACAATGTGACTAGCACATATGTATGTAGGATAAGATCACAGTCATAAGCACAAATTTCCACCAACTGAAGAAGCCATTGAACTGACTGAAATTCTCTGCACGTTTTGAGGGAACTCTCATAGATAAATAATAACATAAAACATTTATTGGTTATTTTATTCTATGCTACACACCATACTAAGTACTTTACGTGTAGTTATATAATTTAATGTTCACAACAATTCCATGAAGTAGATTTATTACCTCCATTTTACAAATGAAGCAACTGAGGCTTATAAACTTTGTACAACTTGTCCAAGGTCTTGGAGCTAATGAATGGCCACGCTGAGACTTGAAATCTAGTCTACCACTAACGAGGCCTACTCCTTAAGCAAAGTGGTTTGTGATGTTCTTGGGTGAAGGCAGAAACTCACATTTTACTTAGCAGGAAACAAACAAACTGAAGTGGATTTTTCTGTGATGGTTTTTATTCCTCACTTCTATTATTGGTCTTCATGGAGAGAATAAAGTACTGAGGATACCTTGTGAAGCTATTGCTTGGAAAATTTTTTCCAAGATGACCAAATCTATCATCTTCAGCAAATCATTTTTGGAAAATGTCTGGCTTTGGGGAATCTCTTATGGAAATATACTTTGCCTCTGATGATATAAGCTTTTTGATTGCTGCAGGGCAGGACAAGACTGGTAAGCCAGGAAGCCTGTCATTTATCCCTTTGCTGAGTACACTTCCTTCTCTTGGTGGTTGCAGGAAACTGCTGGGGACTAGACTGGCTTTTAGACAGCAGCACCTCTAAACAAAGGCACCACTGCCAGGATTTTGTCTTCTGGGGACAAACGATGCTGCTGTGTTTGCCAAAGGAAGACAGCTCCAAGTGTCTCTGTTTTCAGGCATCCCTCAGTTTTCAAGTAAGTATAATTTTCAAACCTGTGTTGCATTCCAAAGAACTTTTTTTTTTTTTCGGGAATGCTTTTGTATTTAACACCTCTGTGAACTCTGTGACCGTACACCCTCATCTGGAAGGTCTATTCAGAGGAGGCTGAGCAAGCTGCCAAATTCAGCCTCTGAACCCTATCATTTCTGTATTATAAATGCTTTTCCCCATCCCATCCCTCGACAGCTGGAATTAAATGTTCAGAGGCATTTGGATTAGATTTGAATTGCTTGGTCAAATCTTAGTCGCTTCTTCACACACAGACAGAATCTTTAACCTGGGAAAAGGTATTAGTTTGAGTTTAGAGAATCAACTAAAGAGAGATTCTTAAGCACAACGTTCCCAGTTAGAGTAAGG